CTCCATTTGGCTGCCTTCTTTTTTTTTTTCTTAAAGAGAGAGTGATGGAAAGAGAGAGAGAGAGAGAGAGAGAGAGAGAGAGAGAGAGAGAGAGAGAGAGAGAGAGAGAATTTTTTTTAATATTTATTTTTTAGTTTTCGGCGGACACAACATCGTTGTTTGTATGTGGTGCTGAGGATCGACCCGGGCCGCACACACGCCAGACGAGCGCGCTATCGCTTGAGCCACATCCCCAGCCCCAGCTGCCTTCTATTAAAACACTGTTACAAGAGCTGTTTCTTAGAAAGTGAAATGAAAGCTGTTTATCTTCTTATAAAAATTGTTTTTCTGTACTTTGTACCCCACAAATTGTACCTTACTCAGGATGCAGTGGTGGTCATGGTGAGCTACCTCCTGGGTTTGAATGCCCTTGTGGGTCTACATGACCTTGAAGTAGATTCTCGCCCTGCTGACCCCCCGCCCAAATTCAGGATTCGACTGTCTAGCACCTGCTTGAACCCAGGACTGTGGTCAACTGAACTGCAAAGCTAATGCTTTTTTTTGCTTCTGTTTATCACTTGCTTGCTGACTGGAAAATTCCAGTCCTGCCTAGAGCCCACAGGTCCGACTTATTAATTTTTTAATTTCTATGATTGGCTAGCTTACATGATGATAAGCAAGTCACTGAGTTGTGCTTTTTGTGCTTATATTCTCTTTGGATGGACCAGGAAGCTGCTGTCCTCCCACAGAGCTTGAGTCTCTGCAGTGGGTGACAGTCCCTGGCCAGGTAAATAAAGCTCTCTTTTGATTTGAAATTCGGACTCAGTGCTTTCTGAGGTGTCTCCCCATAACACAGCTGGCTGCATTCCTTGGGGCTTGAAGTGAGGCTGAATATCATGATGGCAGAGAGTGGTGGAGGAAAACAGCTGGGGAATCATCAGGAAGCAGAAAGGGAAGACTCTACTCATCAGATACAAAATGTATACTCCAAAGGCAGATGCTCAGTGACCAACCTCCTCCAGCCATATCCTACCTGCCTTCAGTTAACACTCAATTAATCCCTACAAGGGGATTAATTCACTGATTGGATTAAAGCTCTCATAACCCAATCATTTCACCTCTGAATATTCTTGAACTATCTCATACAGGAGGCTCTTGGGGAGCACCTAATATCTAAACCGTAATAGTCTCTCTCTGTCAATTCTTCCTTACAGAGCAATAAACTAATTAGGTAGAAAGAGTATGTGCTTATCAAAAATGAAACATATACAGATAAGTTAGTTTTATACAGTGTTTGCATTCTTCCAGTAAAAACAAAATATATATGCATAGATGAGCTATACAATATGAATTGCATAATTTCATCGATTTCATATTAAAAGTTTTTAGATTTGCACATTAAATGGACATTGCACAATATAAAGAAGAATGAAAAAATGCTTACAATTAAAAATTTTAAGTCCTTTACACAGAGTGACATTAAATAGCAAATATAAAACTACCATGAGAAGTTGGGGGATTGCAAAAGAATGGAAAAAGCTTTATATTTTAACATCTCTAAAGGCATTTCTTCCTGCTTTTTGAAACAGAGCACCACATTCTCATTCTGCACAAGGGCCTTCAGGTTATGTAGCTGGTTCTGGATCTAAATGTGACCTGATCTCCTCAGTCATTATGGGACCTGCATGGGCTTGAGGATCAGGGGAGTGACCCTACACTCCTTTCCCACCTTTGCCCCTACATCAAGTAGTCCTGTCTGTTCACCCCAGGATGCTGCACTAAGATGAGAACTTCTTGAGTGCCTATGGGGAGACAGCCAGGGAGGTTTCCTCTGGGATCACTCAGAACACCATCTGTACCACAGCTGGCTCTTGGGTTTGTCACAGGCATCCTGATGAACTTGAGCATATAGAGAATCCCTACAAAACACAAGTTTACCACTCCAAAGCACGGAGTTCTTGTGCCTTCTGCCTAGAATGTTACCCCTGCTCTTGTAGGACAGCTTCTCTCTCATCTTCCAATGTTTGCCCAAATGCTTTCTCCTCAGAGGACCTCATTTACCACAATGCTCTCTTGCAATTCTTTTCAGAACTTTTCCCAATTAGCTTATACATTTCTTATTTTGTCTTCTCTGTGAAGTACACGGGCAAGAACCTGGTCTCCCTTGCTCCACACTGTAGCCTGGCTCCCATCTCTGGACTTGGCATAGAGACCATAGGAAATGTTTGTTTGGTAAATGAATAAATGTAATTAGACACCCATAATTAGGATTTGTTAGATTATTCAGTGTTTTTCAAAATTCAAATCTAAGACTTGTATCAATGAAGCAGCAAAATCCAGATATCAGCTCTGACATAATCAAACAGGTTTAGATTTTTGCTAAAGCATGTGCAGACCTGTGTGTTTTAACGAAACATTAAGGGAATAGTTAATTATTGACAGCATAGATTGACACATATAGTTTTAAAAGTCAATATATTTTTTTAAAGAAACAAAATAGAAAACAACAACAAGAAGAAAAAAAAAACAAACCAAAAAAACTCCCTTTCTTCTTTTTTTAAAATATTTTCCTCTCTTATTATATTTCTCATTTCTGACCTAAATATTAGCTCTTCTGCAGAAAGAATAAAGAATAAATGATTGGAAAGTTTTCCCCACATGACTACATCTCCATAAGAAAATTATGTGTAACAGTTAATTTATTGTTTTAAACCTTCTCAAAGTATAAGGCAAAAAATGTTCACCATTTTTATTTATAAATATATTTATATTATTTATAGTTGTATTGATCAATATTTATATAATGATCATTTTTAAACTTTTTATTTTCTCATTTCTATACAATGTTGTCCTCTGATATGTCATTTACTGCTTTATGAATTATTTTAGAGTACAGAAATTTCCTAACTCATACTGGCATTAAGTAGCCCTAGGTAGCATCATTATTCTTTTTCTTTTTGAGTACCGGGGATTGAACTCAGGGGCACTCAATCACTGAGCCAGATATCTAGCCCTATTTTGTATTTTATTTAGAATTAGGGTCTCGCTGAGTTGCTTAGTACCTTGGTTTTGCTGAGGCTGGCTTTGACCTCACTATACTCCTGCCTCAGCTTCAGGAGCCACTGGGATCATGGTGTGTGTCACCGTGCCTGGCATGGAATCATTACTCTTGATATGATCATTTGAAAAGTTTTTGAAGTGATACTAAATAATATCCTTTGGAAAAAAAATACCCATATATTTTTTGGGACTGTGGACTAAACCCAGGTATGCTTTGTCACTAAGTACATCCCAGCTCTTCTTATTTTTATTTTGAGCTAGAATCTTATTAAGTTGCTTAGGGCCTCACTAAATTGCTGAAGCTGGCCTCAAACTTGTGATACTCCTGCCTCAGTCTCTGATTCTCCAGGATCACAGGTGTGTACCACCACCCGAGGCTCCTTTAAATTTAAAATATTGTTTTCTCTAAACCTGATTAATTCAATGGTGCAAAATTAATTCTTACTCGAGAAAAAGCAGTTTTTGACAAAATAACAAATCATGTATTTTATAATAAGAAGTTTGGAAGTAAAGAAAGTGATGTGACAAAAATCACAATGGACTTATATAAAACGGTATTTTCTAGTTTGCAAATTATTTTTTGTTGCCTTGGCCCAACATAACTGACTGATGGGTGTCCAGCTCATCCTAGTATATGCAAGCTAAAAAGCCAATTGCTGAACAATGTCTTGTTTCTGCCAAGAAGCTCTTTTTAACAGAATGTGAAAGAAATACTCCATGCAGACGGCTGAATCCACATCACCAGCCATAAGATTGTGTCTAGAATGCCGTGGAAATCATTGAAGAGAATGCCATCTCCAAACCACCACCACCAGCCTGGATAAAGCACCAGAGAGTGTGCTGGAGGGAATAATGCTGCCCTGGCCCCAGGGGAGGGACCAGATGGGACCTTATAGCTCTTTTCTACTACTAATTTCTATGATAATTCTAAATTGCCACATGGCATACGTATTTTTTTTTTAATCTAAGGCAGAATATCAGGCAATGAAGTGACCAGGATTTTAATGAAAGGTATTTTTCATGAACTGTATCTATTCAGACTTTATTTCTTACCTCCCTCCATCCATTAGTAACACATCATATACAGTTATGTTGGGAGAACTTTATGGAGACAAGTCAAGCACAATGCATTTTTAATCATTATCAATACTAATTAGAAACAAATATATTCTAGGAGGTCAGATGCTTTTTGCAACAATTTTATGAAGTCATTTATATCAAGCTCTTTTTTAAAAATAATTAAAGATCATGCTTGGATCTAAGGATTATGGCATGCCAGATAATGTTTGAGAGAAAAATTAGAAAAGTAAAAGTTCTTCCAGTTTTTAGAGACAAGATCAAGAATTAGAGGAGGAAATATTAGTGATTTGAGAAAATTACAAAAGAATTTCTGTCCATTCTTACTGGTGAGTCCAAATGCAACTTCACTTGGCCTTTCCTTTCAACCAGATGCAATTTCTCTTTCTTTGAACTTCCAGAACTTTATTTGCACTTCTCAGGTGGCCAATGCCACATTCTTTGACTTATTAGAGGCATTTCACTTGCTATTTGTAGGCTCTCTGAATGAGACCATTATATTTTGTTCAGCATTACTCTTTATACACAACAAACTGCAACACCCAGGGAGGATAAAGGAAGAGATTGAACTTGGATAAAAATACCGACAGAGCCATGAGCATCTCATGATAGCCATAGTTTCTCAGACACAAACTGATGTGAGTAAATCATGAAAATAAAATCTTCCTAGGTTCAAGGTAGCATAAATTATAGTAGCATAAATTATATTTAATATAAATTAACAAATACTATAAAAATCATACTATTTTATTTTCAAAATAGACTGAAAAAATTCTCACTTCAATTTTCAGTTCAGTTTTTTAATACTTACCCCTAAAGAAAAACTGCTGGGAATCTTGATTCTGGGAGCATTAGTAAGTTACATTTTCAAAGCAAAAAGATACAAACTCTGGTAGAGTGGGATGAGGCACTTCACAGCCCTGCTGGCATTGATGCAGGTGGCACATATAAGGCTTGGCAGCAGCTTCCCACTCACTATGGCTCCATCGAACAGAGGACCAAAAAATGGAACCTGTTGATCAGAAATAGAAAAATGCTTACTTTTCAAAAACCAATAAAAGCTGTATGAGAACAGATAACAAATGTCTAAAACCCGGAATGAACACATAGACAGTCATCTTCAGGGAAAGTGCTTACCTTCTCAGGACATGGGTAGAGAGGGCTTTCAACTCAAGGAAAGCAGGACTGCTCTAGGAACTCTTGAGCAAAACTTCTTGTTAATAGGTAATTATCACTAGTTTTTTTTTTTTTTAAATGTGTGTGTGTGTATGTCTGCGCTGTCATTTATAGAAATGCCACTATACTTTCTAAGGACTTATATCATGTAGATTATGTGTGGTACACAGATCCCAACTTTGGAACTGGTAATGTTCCTGTTATGGATTCGATACATGTTGGCTCTTAAAGGAGATGATCACCATTGCAGTCAACAATTACATGGTCCTTAAGAGTTCTTCTTCTTCTTGAGCTTTTCTCTTTGCTTTCAAGATACTGTAGGACCTCATTTCTTTCTACTTCTTGAATACATACATGGCTTTTCTTTGCTGGACCAATTTCTACCAGGTAGGTAACCCGCAAAGTTTTCATGCCTGTCTTTTTTGGGTTTCTTTTATTTCTTCAACTTGCTTCATTAGAATTTCATTCACTAATAGTGATATGGTTAGCACCACGAGATCAGGGACTGACTCTGCCTTGTAAACTCATATTAATTTACTATTTCACTTGCTTAGTCATCTATTCACAAAATATTTATTATGTGATGGACACTGTTTTATTCACTGAGGACACAGCAGTAAATAATACAAAAATCTCTCATTCCACTGAGTTTATAGGTTATTGTAGATTTCAGATAACAAACATTAAAAACACATACAATGCCTCATGTGTGAGGTAGTAGACGTGTTAAGGTGAAAATAAAACAGAAGAGAACAATTAAACTTTTTTTGAGGTATGGTATCTCCAATTAGGTCAAATGGGCAGGAAGGGTTTTAATAGAAGATGATATTTTAGTAAAAGTCTAAAGGAAGTGGCAGAAGGAATCACAGGTAGGAGTCCTTCAGATTCCATCTGATGGAAGAACAGACCAGGCAAAGGAAGAGCAAATGCACAGGCATAAGGTGATGGGAGTGGAATTGAATGTTTAAGCAACAGCAAGGAAGCCACAGTGACTACAGCCAAGTAAGTGAAAGAAAGACCTGAAAGAGATGAAAGTCAGGTAGTAAAAGAACCTTGTGGGAAGTTATAAGGATTTTTGATTTCTAGTCTAAATAAAATAGAAGTTTTGTGGAAGGCTTTAGGGAAATGGGGTATATGATCTAACCTACATTTTTAAAGTACTGTTCTGGGCACTGTGATGGGAAAACTGCAAAGGGAAATTATGGAGACCAGTTGGGAAACTACTGAATAATCCAACAAGAGATAATGATAGTATGGATCAAAGCGGTGGCAGGAGAAGAAGGTGGCTTTCTGGATATATGCTCTGAAGGTAGAGTTGATAGGATCTGTGGAGGATGGCTGATGAAGTGGAAGGGAAAGAGAGGTGTCAAGGATGATGCCATGATTTCTGCTGTAGAAAGGGTCATAAGTTCATTTTAAGACGTATTCAATTAGAGATGCCTAATGGATATGTTGAGGAGGCAGTGGATGTCCCAGGCAGGAAGGCAGAGGAGAGGCTTAAATTGGAGATATAAACCTAAGAATTGTTCACCTGCAGATGGTGTTTCTAAGCACAAGAGCATAGGAAGAGCTTGAAGGACTATGTCCTCTGGCCCTGATGTTAGAGGTTGAAGTCATGAGAAACAAGAAAAGAAGACTAAGAAGGAGTGGCTTTGGGATGGAGGAGACAAATTCCTTTGAGTCATTCAGAAACTTTAGGTGGTTGTAAATATACTTGCTCAACAGGGAAGAAAAGCTGAGTTCAGGTTCTGATTAGGACTATTACATGTAGTCTTTCATTAAATTTACCATTGAATATAGGATCAGGAAGTGGTATGAAGATTTGCTCACATGTTTTCTTCTAGAAACTTTCATATTTCAGTCTCTAATCTGTCTCAATTTTTGCAGTAGCTCTGTACCTGGCATATGGCTACAATACAGGTATCTACTGAATGAGTGAAGTTTACTAATATTTTAAATAATTTATTGAATGCAAGTCTTCAGCCTAGATTTTTTAACATCTTCCAGTAACTGCTTATTAGTAAAATACCTTTTCTGTGGTTGGCATTGGAGGAGAGGCCTGGGATACCCAACAGGAAATATAAGACTATTTTCACCTATAAGGAGCTAACACAATTGTAAAACACTATGGACTGATATCAACAAAAATGTAGAAGTTCTGGGGCTGGGGATGTGGCTCAAGCGGCAGCGCGTTCGCCTGGCATGCGTGCGGCCCGGGTTCAATCCTCAGCACCACATACAAACAAAAGATGTTGTGTCCGCCGAAAACTAAAAAATAAATATTAAAATTCTCTCTCTCTCTCTCTCTCTCTCTCTCTTTAAAAAAATGTAGAAGTTCTTTACTAATTTTTAGCAAATTAAATCCAATAATATAAAAAATAATACATCTTGATCAAGTGGAATTGTCCATAGGAACTCAAACTTGGTTGAACATTCATAAATTAATTCATTAATTCAATTTACCTCATTAACAGAATAAAGAAGGAAAACTAGAAGACTTTCTTAATGAATGCTGAATAAAACACTGGATAAAATTCAATCTTGTTCGTGATTTTAGAAAAGCACAACAGAACAACAACTCTCAGAAAACTGGAAATATATGGGAACTATTTCAGCTTAAAAAAATCTGAAAGAGGAAAACAATGGCATCATAATTAATGATAAAATATTGAATGCTTTCTACATAGTATCTAAAAAGGCAAGAATATTTATGCTTACCTCTTCTATTCAACAATTTTAATGTTCTGATCATTACAAGTAGAAAAAATAAAAGAAGGAAAAAAGAAAAAATACATGAGAAAGAAGTAAAATTATTTTTATTCACAGAAAAACATGATTATATAAATGAAAAATCCAAAGGAATTTAACTAGAACTAATTAGTGAATTAGCATAAGTCACAAGATACAGTGAACTCCCCAAAACAGAATCCTAAAGAAAGAAGTCAAAGATGACCTTAGAAGATGGAAAGATCTCCCTGGCTCTTGGATAGGCAGAATTAATATTATCAAAATGACCATACTACCAAAAGCACTATACAGATTTAATGCAATTCTGTTCAAAATTCCAATGACATTCCTCATAGAAATAGAAAAAGCAGTTATGAAATTCATCTGGAAAAAATAAGAGACCCAGAATAGCTAAAGGAATCCTTAGCAGGAAGAGTGAAGCAGATCCCATCACTGTACCAGACTTTAAACTATACTACAGAGCAATAGTAACAAAAACAGCATGGAATTGGCACCAAAACAGACTGGTAGACTAATGGTATAGAATAGAGGACACAGAGACTAACCCACATAATTACAATTATCTTATATTACACAAAGGCACCAAAAACTTACATTGGAGAAAAGATAGCTTCATCAACAAATGGTGCTGGGAAAACTGGAAATCCATATGCAACAAAATGAAGTTAAACCTCACCATGCACAAAACTTAACTCAAAATGGATCAAGGACCTAGGAATAAAACTAGAGACACTGCATCTAATAGAAGAAAAAGTAGGCCCTAATTTTCATCATGTGGGATTAGGCCCCAACTTCCTTAATAAGACTCCTTTGGTGCAAGAAATTGAAATCAAGAATCAATAAGTGAGATGGACTCAAACTAAAATGTTTCTTCTCAGCAAAAGAAACAATCTGTGAGGAGAACAGAGAGCCTACATCTTGGGAGCAAATCTTTACCCCTCACACATCAGATACAGCATTAATCTCTAGGGTATATAAAGAACTCAAAAAGCTAAGCACCAAAAAAACCAAATAACCCAGTCAATAAATGGGCCAAGGACCTGAACAGACACTTCTCAGAGGATGATATACAATCAATCAACAAATATATGAAAAAATGTTCATCATCTCTAGCTATTAGAGAAATGCAAATCAAAACTACTCTAAGATATTATCTCACTCCAGTCAGAATGGCAGCTGTTATGAAGACAAACAATAATAAGTGTTGGCGAGGATGTGGGGAAAAAGGTACACTCATACATTGCTGATGGGACTGCAAATTGGTGCAGCTAATATGGAAAGCAGTATATAGATTTCTTGGAAATTTGGGAATGGAATCACCATTTGACCCAGCTATCTCACTACTGGGTCTAAATCTAAAGGACTTAAAAACAGCATACTACAGGGACATAGCCACATCAATGTGGAGCCAACCTAGATGCCCTTCAGTGGATGAATGGATAAAAAAAAATATGGTATATACACACACACACACACACACACACACACAATGGAATATTACTCAGCAATAAAAGAGAATAAAATCATGGCATTTGCAGGTAAATGGATGGAGTTAGAGAACATAATGCTAAGTGAAGTTAGCCAGTTCCAAAAAGCCAAATGCCAAATGTTTTCTCTGATATAAGGAGGCTGATTCATAGTGGGGTAAGAAGGGGGAGCATGGGAGGAATAGATGAACTCTACAAAGGGCAGAGGGGTGGGAAGGGAAGGGAGGGGGCATGGGGTTAGAAATGATGGTGGAATGTGATAGACATGTATGAAGACATGAATTGGTATGAATATACTTTGTATAAAACCAGAGATATGAAAAATTGTGCTCTATATGTGTAATAAGAATTATAATGCATTCCACTGTCATATATAAATTAAAAAATTAATTTAAAAAGATTTATTTTTTAGTTGTAATTGGACACAGTACTTTTATTTATTTATTTTTATGTGGTACTGAGGATCAAACCTATGGCCTTGCATGTGCTAGTCAAGTGCTCTACTACTGAGCCACAAACCCAGCCCCCCAAAGTTATATTTTTATGTAACATCATTATCATATTTATATCATATTGTTATATTTCTGAATATTAGTAACTA